AAACAAAAAAGCAAAAGCAAAAGCAAAAGCAAAACAAAACAAAAAAGCAAAGCAAAAGCAAACCAAAACAAAAAAGCAAAAGCAAACCAAAACAAAAAAGCAAAAGCAAAGCAAAACAAAAAAAGCAAAGCAAAACAAAACAAAAAAGCAAAAGCAAAGCAAAACAAAAAAGCAAAGAAAAGCAAAACAAAAAAAACACATCAAAGCACAAAAACAAAGCAAATAAAAGCTAAAAAAACAAAAGTAAATGAACAAACACATGAACAGAAGAGAGAAAGAACAAAATGCCAATCAATTAAATATTTATAAAACTAGCAATAAGTATAAAAATAACATTCAAAACAAAAACAGAAACAATTAATGAACAAATTAATGAATTAAATTAATCTGTTCGTAAAATATATACATGAATTAACTGCATGAATGGAGTTATCATTTATGTCAGTAGCATACATATGTGAGGCAAACTCAATTCATAATACTTTTAGAGCGTTTGTTTCTAAACCTGGCATGCTTTCTCCCTCAGGTTGGCTTATATGCAAATATGAACACAGCAATCATGCCTGGATCTGCACCAGAGTAATCGGTCAGAGATCTCCAGAACGAGGTGAACTCGGCCTGACTGAAAACTAATTCTTGCCATTCAATTGTGGTGAGAAAGTAATCTGACCCATTGGACCAATGAACCAAGCTGTATCACAATTCAAAATAAGAAATGTGTTATGTAAAAAGCAGGTGAGCGCATTACTTATCGCAGTTCATATATTGTTCATACTTATCACATATAGTGCACTCTGGCCAATAGGAGGACAGTTTTACTTGCATGTGACTTGTATACACATATTTTAGTACACTTTAAAAACTGAATCTCTCAGCCACACAGAGGTCCAAGGATCCCCAAGCTATGCGTCTGATGTATTGTAAAGAAACAGCTTAAAGTACCTTACCCCAAAGTCACTATACATTTTTTATAACATGCAACAGTTTGTTTGAAGGTCTGAAATTGTGTTATAAACAGCAGGTTCATTTTCACAAGCCTTCATAACACTGCACATTTCTTTCACACACTGACAGAGGAAAAGTGCATGACTTTATAAAGGGCGCATCCAGCTCAACCTGGTCCATTGTGCTCGGGAGTAATTAATTCATTCATAAGCAGAATGGATGGTGTGCATTCATTACATGCTTTTGTTTCCAGAGCTTGAATTATACTCTCAGTGAACAGACAATGAAGAGAAGAGCCCATGAGAGATAAGACAACGTCTGAACACACACACAGAGAAAAGCAGATGTCTAGCATTCACTCTCACTACTCCACTGGGACATACAGACAGATTATCCAGAAAGAAAGAAAGAAAGAAAAGCAAAGGAAAAACAAACCAAAAGTTATTAACGAATGAATGAAAGAAACAAAGAACAAACAAAAGTTCTAACAAAATAAAAAAAATAACCTACTTTATGAAATAAACACACTTTCAAAAGAGAGAATAGATTGATAAACAAAACAAAAAACAAACCAAAAAAAAACAAACACCCTCAAAAACAAAAACTAACGAAAAGAAGGAATGAACAAACAAATCAGTAGACAAAGAAAAACAAATAAACAAACAAATGAACCGGAGGAAAAACAATCAAAAGACTAACCAAGTAACAAAAACAAACAAAAAAGAACAAACAAACAATTTAAAGAAAAAATGAAGAAAGAATCAACAACATAATACACTGTAAAAAAAAAAAAGTCCTGTAAAAAAAATGGTAAATGACTAGCAGCTACGGCTGCCAAACAAGAACCGTAAAATTAAGGTAAAATATCTTAATTGAAATACAGTGCAAAAACAATAATTTTACAGAAATTTTCATTAAAGGTTTTACAGAAAATAAAATATTTTACAGATTTTT